ATCTTCTCTTTTTTTTTTTTTGGGGTAGCTGTTTGGGTTGGTGGGAGATCGAGCTTAGTGTAGTGCGTTTGCAACATAAATTTTGCGAAATACGTTGAAATATTGGAGGAAGGACTCTTGCCACTTTATTCCTCGGGTTTCATGGACAAAAACACAACGTTGTTCCAGGAAGATGGAGTACCGTTTCACAATGCTAGAAACACCCAAAAGTGACAGGAAGAAAATGGTATCCAAAAGTTGCCCTGGCCGAGCCAATCTCCTGACATGAACCTCATCGAAAACCTCTGGGCCATACTCGACCGGCAAGTCAAGAAACAACCAAAAAACCAACTTCGAAGAGCGATCTACTCCAAGTTTTGAAGCAAGAGTGGGCGAAAATCCCATAATCTAAAATTGACAAGATGATTCTCACGATGCCCCAAAGAATCAATGAACTCCACGAAGTGAGAGGAAGATCTACTAGATATTAATTAAATTATAAATATATCAATTCATGTGAATAAGACTGAAAAATTTCATTTTTTCTGAAAAGGTGGTGTCTATTTACTTGTGATCACACTGTATATATTAAACGTTAGGCCTATCACCAACTATATTCTCTTTGCTTTATCTGTCTGATACTGCCTGTCTGCTGCTTCCAGCTCGTCTCACACTATTTATATCTTTATTACATAGTTGTCTGGCCAATTTCTATATTATCTTTGCTTTATTTGTCTGATACTGCCTGTCTGCTGATTCCAGCTTGTCTCACACTATTTATATCTTTATTACATAGTCGTCTGGCCAATTTCTATATTCTTGACACCAATTAGTTATTAACAAAACCTAAACAATAATAAAACATTCACTCACAAAACTAAATTAATCAATACTATCTGAACGAAACAGTCTTTTATATCATGACAACCTCCTTATGAGACTTGTCACTTGTGTGTGGCTCCTCTTTTAAAGCAAGATGTCTTTTGTGGGTCTTCCTGACTCACTAGAATCCAGTATCAGGTCTGCCCATTTACACCTCCTGGCTTTTGTGTTTAGCCACTGTGTGGGAGTCCTTCACCACAGGCCCTTGGGTTTTGTGGGTTCTCTCCAAAGGGGTCATTCTTTGTTTCTCTTCCCCTCCTCTTCTGTACCCTCATCCCATATTCTTTCCCTCTTTTCGGGATCCCATTTCCAGCTAACTTCTGTCTGAGGCAGTTCTAGACCTTCACAAGAGTGTTGTGGTCCGAACAGAAGAACCTGGAACTGGTAGATGCAATCCCGATGAACAAAACAAAGAAAATACCAGGATGCTAGATTTATGAGAATGTGGAGGTAAGTATCCATGATATTCACCTTCTTCATCCACAGAATAGGAGTGAAAACCCACTGAAGAGATAGGTATGACTCCATGGTGAATCAAGGAAGGTCTAGGAAGCAGTTCAGGGAAGAAAGGTCAAGGATAGAGTGCCAATCCCCAGTCTTCTTAGGGACAACAAACAAATGGGTATATAAACTTGACTGAGAAGGATCTACCCATTCCAAAAAGGACTTCTCCACCATGACCAGCCAATTGACCCATACAGCTTCTCGAAGAAGAAACTGAGTGTGAAGGTAAGAGGTGCATGTGAAGGAGCTAGAAGCAGCCAATCATCCATTAATGGTGGAAACAAAGACCCCTGTAATGGAGAAGGTGGGCAAAGGCCTTGACCACCAGAAAAAATATAGGGAGCCCAAGCCACAAGCCCCTCCCACTCAATACCTTGTTCATCTTGGAATATTTTTCAATTCCAATCTCAGCCAGGCCCATCCTTCACCTGTGTTCTATGGAGCTTCTGGTTTGGACCATTTCCTCCTCTCCTCTACCTGCATGAAAGGTTATATCTGTTTGGGGGACATGGGCTTCTTTGGAGGCTCTCATTCCCCTCACTATAGCCCACATACAACCTCTTCAGTGGGCTTTACAACATCAGTGGAACCTCGTTTGGGATCCTTTGGACACTCCTATCCATTTCCCTCCTTCTCTTCATGTAGACTTCACCTGGTGGTTGAACACAGACAATGCCACAGTGGGTGATCCTCTTCCTCCTCCTCATCCAGAGGTGCACCTCTTCACGGATGCTTATCTTTTGGGTTGGGGTGCATACCTGCACATGCAGGAAGAAGGTTTTAGGAAATTTGTCTGTAGTGGAGTCATCTCTGTATATCATTCTTATAGAACTGATTGCTGTTTTTCGGGCTTTGGTTAATTTTCTTCCATCTCTCTGGACCCAGTCGGTTATGATCCAGTTTGAAAACTCCATAGTTTTCTCATACATCACTCAGCAAGGGGGCACTTGGTAGAGGTTTTCACATGTTGGACTTCCTATTTTGGGCCTACAGTCATATACCAGGTGCCTTGAATCTGGTTGCAGATTATTTATTGCACTTTGACAAGGTTCTCCCCACAGAGTATACTCTTGACTCACAGGTGTTCAGTTGGCTGTGTTTACAGTGGGATACTCGGGAACTGGATGCATTTGTCACCCAACTAAATTCCAAGCTTCCCAGGTTTTGTTCTCCTATTCCTCATCCTTTGGCTGTAGCTGTTATTCCTCTCAATCTGGATTGGGGAGCCATAACCTTTATGCATATACTCCCATCCATCTTCTTCCTCGTGTCTTTGCAATAATACAAGTGTTGAGTTATCTTGGTGGCGGCACTTTGGCTGGCATAGCCGTAGTTCCACTTCTGCGCCTATTCCGACTGGCAACTCCTCTTCCTCTACCCTTGTTACCCACCCTCCTCAGACAACTTCAGTCGGGCACACTACATCTTCTCATGCAGTTTTCATCTGGTATCTTGCCAGATGGGCCAGACTATCTGAACAGGTTGTTTTCCTAATTTACCATTCTGTATGCCCTTCCTTCATGTCAGTTTACCAATGTAAGTGTAATGTCTACCTTCTCATCAAGGTTTTCCTTTGTCCTATCCTACTCTTCCCCACTTTTTTACCTGGATTTTTGACAAGGGGCTGTCAGTATCCACTGTTGCTGGTTATCATGTGGCATTGTCTGCTACTTTCCATTTCACAAGACTTTGATGTGTCTTCACTTCTGTGGTCCTCACACTTTTATTTAGTTCCTTCTGCCACCATGTCCTACCATTTTCCCTGATTGTAAACTCAGTGTTGTCTTCCATGCCTTCACACTTCTTCCCTCTGATCCCATCTTCCTGTTCCTTATATCCTCTCTCCTTAAAGACCTTTTTCCTCCTCCTCACAGGTCCTATGCCATCCTCTATCCAGATTGATCTTTCCTGCCCAAAACTTCAGCCACATATGAGGGTGAATTTGCCTACACTTGCATTTTCCTCCTTCCATTTCTCACCTCTATCCTCATTCCAATCCAAATCACCTCTTATGTCCTGTTCAGACACTCTGTTTTTATGTGTCTCCATTCCTTGGTTCTTGTTTGTTTATTCATTGGAACCATTCCCTTTCCCATGATATTTCTCCTATTACCCTTACAGATTGGATTTACCAGGCTGATTCTTCCCTTTCTTCTGATAATTGTTGTTATTTCTAACTCTCCTCCCATCATATCCATCACCTTATTGTGTCTCTGGCTGACTGATTTCATTCTCCTTTAGAGGATATAGCTTGCACCAGCATGCGAGCTACTCCTTATACAATCATCTCACATTATCTTCATCATCTGGCCATTTCATGCTCTATGGGTTACTGTCTACTTCCCATTGCCATCTTGAGCTCCATGGTTTCTATATGAGTGGGTATGTGGTCTCTTTTATATTATTTTTTTTACAGGGGCTTATCTTGCATATACAGATCCCTTTCAGTGGTGAGTATTTCCTGACCAGGTATACTTATTTTTAAACTGGCACTGTAGATAGTGTATAAACACACCTCCTGCTGTGGACCTGATTTTCTGTTTCAGATACTGCCTGGTTATGGACTTAATGATTTCTTCCAAATTGCAGTTCACCCCACTAGCTGGGCACCCTCCTTCCTACTATTGCTCGATTTGCAGTTCCTGGGGACACAGGTGTTGGTTGGAGCTGGAACCAGCCACATAAATCCTCACGTGAGTGATCCAGGTCCCCTTCTACAGCAGACTGGACAATTCATACCCAATGCTGCCTGGTTCTGGACTAGAGTTAAACTGCCACATTGCTGTCTGTCTTCCTACCATTGTCTGGATGTAAGTTCCTGGTAGTGCTGATGCTGGTTATGTTTAACATGCACACATGATGGTGCAGGTCCTTGGAATGGAAGATCTTCCATTCCAGTTCCTGTGTCCAAGGTGAACAGTAGAGGACCCTCTTCCTACCATTGTCTGGATGTCAGTTCCTGGGAGTGCTGGTGTTAGTTGTATTCAACATACACACACATGATGGTGCAGGTCCTTGGAATGGAAGATCTTCTTCCCTTCCAGTTCCTGTGTCCAAGGTGAACAGTAGAGGACCCTCTTCCTACCATGGGCCAGATATTTCTATCATAGCACTGTTGGTTTTGAGCAAGGTTGAACTCCCCCTTACGGTCTGCTGTGCCCTAACCACTCTATGCTAGAGATCCCTACATTTAATATATAGGGTTCTTCCTGTGATTCCATCCTTATTGCAACACATCATTTTCATGGGAGAAGAGTATACCTGGCTCAGAAATGGTAATGTATCCCATGGGTGTGTCCTATATACTCATTATTCTCACATCCTATAGGCTGCCTTTGGGTGCTTTCTGAAGGAGGGTCATCTAGGTAATGTGACATCATTCCCTCCACCAGGTCAATGTGGGATTCTATCGTATCAGAAGTTAACATTTTCCAACACTGAAAATGTATTTCTGATAGGTTCTTACCTTCTCTAACACTTCCCACTGTTCCTCCCCACTTCGATGTCTTTTCTTTTTATGTTGCTCAATCTCGAAGTGAAGTTGAGTTAAGCTGCATAGAGGGAGTCAGCCGTGCTAGATGTTGTGTTGCACTTCTCTTGGTGGAGGGTTGTTGAATGCTATCGCACAGCTGTGTCTTGTTAAAACATGTGAGGGTAGGTGAAAGTATCAAGGCTAGTTGTGAGTGTCAATTTGTGCATATAGAGAAGTCGAGAAAAGCTATTATGTGAGAAGAGGTAAGAACCTAAAGGAAATACATTTTCAACATAGGAAAATGTTAACTTTGATAGCTACACGCACTTAAAAACAAGGTCCGGCATGGCCAAGTGGTTAGGGCACTTGCCTCGCAATCTGAGGGTCGCGGGTTCGAATCCCCGTCATACCGAAACATGTTCACCCGGTGTCTGAACTAGGATGTCAGTCCCACTCTCGGATACTCACCTTCAACAGAATTTGGAGGCGTGAGAAACATCATACGAAACTACTAATTAGAAACAAAATATATTGATTGTGGTCTATAGAGTTAAGGTTGTGTTGATATTTATTTATTTTGAGAGTTTGCAAATGCAGATAGCTTTTTGTGATTTTAACTGGAAAAATTTCACTGTATTCAGGTAGTATTTTAGCTTTGAGTGTGTATTTAAATGTACTGCATACAGATTAGCACAAATGATGTGTTTTTTGGGGAATAAATTCTTTGTGCAACTAGAAATTGAAAAGGAGCAATTTTTCTTTTTTTAGCTAATTATAACATTACTTGTTTTATTTTACCACAGTTACTGGCCAGTCATTGATGATGCTCTTAGGAAAGCTGCAGTAGAACGGAGAGTCCATGTGCGTCTTTTAGCCAGTTGGTGGAACCACACACGTCCTTCCATGTTATACTTCATTCAATCTCTAGCTGCCCTCAACAGTAACGACTTCCAAATTGAAGTGGTAAGCCTCAAGTTTAACAATGGATTTTTATGTAACAATTGGTTTTAGCCAGTTGGTTGAACCACACGCGTCCTTCCATGTTATACTTCATTCAATCTCTAGCTGCCGTCAACAGTAACAACTTCCATATTGAAGTGGTTAGCCTTTTTTTTATCTAACAATTAGGGTAGTAACAGCATTTTACCACCATATTTATTTTGGACAATGTTTACATTTGTGGAAATGATGTATGTGAAATGTGTTTGGTAGCCAGTTTTACTTTTTTTTATTTTCAGGGACAGCTGGTTTATTTCTTTATTGTTTCACATTTATACTTATAAGTACTGGTTAAATACTAGATATCTAATGACTTCTTAAAAATTGCAACAAAAACTAGATTTTCTTGTGTTTATTATTTTTTTTTGTTTTTGTTTAATTGGATTCCATGCTCACTAAATTTTCATTTTATAACCTATTATTTTATAAATTTTTATTTTTGTTTCTGTACTGTAAATTTTAGGTTCTGTAAGAATTAAGATGAGTAATTTTGTAAAAAATTGCATGTAATTTGAAAAGGAAAAATTTAAATTTCATTATATATAAATTTTTAAAGATGTATCAAAATTTAGGAACGTTGCTTGTTTCTTTTAAAGAGACTCTTTTTGATAATGATACAAAAACATCTTTCATAAAATAGACTTAAAAAGAATAGCATATCACTGTTTGCCCTTTTGTTAAACAAAATAAAACATCACAATTAATGCTAAATACATTTTGTTTAAAAATGTTTTCCTTAACTTTTGATAGTAAAAAAACCACCTGGACGAAAATGGATAGTTAGTGATATTAAAAATAAATAAATCCCTAGAACATTTGATTGGTCTACCTGTTAAACCTCTCAGTATTTTAAAATGTATATATTTTTTAAATGTTAAATTTAAAAAACCATCACTTTATTTAAAAGATCTTCAAAAACTTGTGTATAAACTATAATTTAATCATTTAATACTTAAAAATTAACCATTCGTTGAAAAAGACTGTTTCATGATGTTGAAGAAAAAGATTCAGTTGAAGTAATTTATTATAATATGCATATAATTATGTATTGTATAAATTTGATTGGCAGTCTGTGTTTATATTTCAGTATTTTGTCCATAACAATTTAGATATATACTAGACCACCCATGACCCATTGGGTCACCCACTACTCAGAGGTTATGAAGAATTCAATCTAATTTCAATATTGCACTGAAATGAAGGTTTATTTTGAGATAATTTAATTAAGAATTTCAGTCCCTTCGTGTTATTCATAATTCAAGAAAGATACCTGAATG